GATGTGGGCCGGATCTGGGCCGAAACTGTCTGCTGTCTGGGATAGTTCCCGTTCTTTCCCCCTATGATTAGTTCTCAGGCAATTTTACAGCACCTTGAACAAAATGTATGATTGAGGGAAGTAATGTATGCTTTTTTGACATATTTCTATTCTAAGCTATGCTAAGGAGAGCTCCTTCTCGTCTTTGTTATTTTGGCTAATGGCAAAAACTATATACTCAATGCACAAGCAGCAAAAGCATGCATGTTAGTAAAACAGATGGAACGGGTTCCTGGCGAGGTTCTCGAAGAACACAGCATGCCATACTCTAGCAGAAATTGGCCTACGGTCTCTTTAAAAGTTATACAGAGTTGGGAAGTGAGGGAATATTGGGATCTGGCTTCTGCTCGGGTGAACAGAACAGGAAGAGTCTACTCCGGAGGCTTTTATAGGCAAACCTGAAATACATCATATGTCCCATCGCAACAAAGGAAACCGAGATGATCACGAGAAGGCCGAAGGCCTCTGGATTTGGTGCAAGGATGACCATGATGAAGTGTAGGAGATCAAGAAGATAGTTCATGGAGTTCTGGACGCCGTTGATGACGCCTCTCTCGGATTCAATCACATTCTCTTGGATCAGCTGGGTCACGGTCAAATCAAAGGACCAAAGACCTGAAAGCAATTCAGGAGAATCAATTAAAACATAATGCATCAATACGCAATTATCACAAACATGCCTTGTTGGTTTTGGCCTCAAAGGTTGGCTTTATAACTTTCAGGTGATACGGATATCATCATCTTCCCCTTGAAGATAACAGAAAATAATGACTAAAACTATTTCTATTGTTTGCTGTTGGTTGCTCATTTACTCACCAATTCTAGCAGCAATGACACCGGCGAAAAGAAGACTGACGGACATGTAGGACTCTACTTGTGGGGCTTCCTCAAAAACAGTGGCGTTAATCTGGATCTGTGGTTCAATTGTAGGAACAAGAGTAGGACTCTCACGCAGCGAGCCGCTGTCTCCAAACAGATGCTTTAAGACCTCGTCGAAGGGTGAGACGCTGAGATCGAAAGGGCTGCCAGGAGCAAAGACAGATGCTACGCAGAGCACGAGGCAAGACAGTTGGGCGACTCCAGCGATGATGCCGGTTCTGATCAGGCCACACTTCTTTCTGATCCAGGTGAATGCCACCGTTCCACAGATTCCAGATATAGCTGAAGCTCCCATGAGGAGACTGAGCACGGAGCCGTTCAGGCCCTGAGTGTACGCATAGCCTGTGGTGATGCAGTCGAAGCCCAGAACGGTCATGTAGAGGAAAGACAGAGACATGCCAGCAAAGAAGATGGACTGGTTGTAGTAGGCCACCCAGCCATCC